ACTTTTAATCCAGGTTACAATAAACCACACTTTTAATCCAGGTTATAATATTCCACACTTTTAATCCAGGTTACAATAATCCACACTTTTAATCCAGGTTACACTCTTCCCTCAAGGACACATTTTACAAAGTAGCTACATACTGTGCAGGTATAAAGATACATTTGTATATATTTTTGTGTACATTTATTTTTTTAAGCTATTTGACTAACTTTTATTTTTTATTATTCAATATTTTACTAACAGAATAGTCAAACAGCAACCTGTTTTTAGTGTGAATTGCTGTCAGTCAAATGTTCAATTTTGGAATAAAGGGGTGGAAATTAAAACATTTTATTTTTTTTACTGATTCATTGATTAATCGAAAAAAATAATCGGCCAATGAATCGATTATTGAAATAATCGTTAGTTGCAGCCTTAAACTGGACACACGCAGGAGTTGAAGGCGAAAAAATTTCTATCAGACTTTTTCTTCTTGGCTGAGAAGAAAAAGTCTGATATTAAAAATCACCTCGCACAAACAAGCACATGGTGACGTAGACGTTCTGCAGAGGGGGAGACGACGAGAGCGCTGAGCCATGATTCATGGATGCTCTCCAGGGCACTGTAAGAGTTCTGTTAAGGATTCAATAATCAGCCAGTTTCCTCCAGTGAGATCCATAAACATTCTCGAGTGATGTCGGGGAATGGCCAAGGACAACGCCTATGAGAATCCAAGAGTCCTGAAATGATGACACAAGTTTATTCAGCTGGTTCAGCTGGTTATCAGTTGGAAATTCCTCAGGGAGGGGGTGGTGAGCGTCAGATCACGTTCTCCAGGTGAATGCAGATAAGATGGCCTTCAAGGCCAGCCAAAGGAACCAAATTTAGATAAACACACAGTTGTTTTGGGGACAGGCAGAACTTAATGACATCTACCTTCAGTCTGTGTTGGTCCACTAAGTTCCAAAATGTCCAAATTACATGGCCTCACCGACGGATCGTGACTGAGTAAAATCCCTGAGATCTGATCCATTCTGCCCAAAGCATTTGAGTCTGGGTACTCGAGGCACGAACCAAGCCATCATAAAGGCAAGCAGCATGATCGGGTCCAAATTTGCTGCCGACGACTTCCTTGATTGTAAATAAAACCAGTAACCAGCCGAATCCAAAAAGCAGGAACCAGTTATCAAAAATCCAATTAAATATGCGTCCTTAAAATCCACAGATGGCAGCAGAGATAGACGCATCATCAAGTCTTCCAGTCGATGAGATATCCAGCTGCGTACGTGCCAACAGGGTAAATCGGCTCGCCTAAAGCCTGTCTTCTCTTTGAAGAAATGTTGTAAATTGAGTTGAGGGACCAATTGGTCAAAACAAGTCCATAATTATCGTTCAGAAGATGCAAGAGAGTCTCACAAGCAGTTTCACAGACAGACAGAGCAGCAAAGCAAAAGACTGGGGAAGGGAGTTTTGGATCAGGACTTTTGCACAGAATTAACCCCCTCACCTCCTTTCACTTCCTGGATGATGTCATCAGGCAGCGAGAAACTCTTCTCAGCATTAGGAAACGGCAGGATCTCTGACTCGTGCTGCGACAAAAACACACCTCGATCAAACAGTGACACAGGGCGTGCGTGCGTGCGTGCGTGCGTGCGTGCGTGCGTGCGTGTTCTCACCAG